ACTTATTGTACGGTTGAATGCTAGATTTGCGCGAAAATTTTCATAAAACCAGCCCAGCAATGATCCATAACCCAAGACCATTAACATTTTGTGTGCATTTTTTTCAAAATTGGTGCTTAAGACATCTTTCAGATTTCCGGCACTAGGCGAAGAGTTGAATGAGGGGACAGAAAAGACGATCATGGCAAGCCTCAGTCTTCCACAACTGAATATGCCACATCAGATACTGCTTCTACCTTTATTTTAGGAAACCTGCACCCACGGTGGTTGCGCTGATAATCTCGCACGATCTATTGCCTCGCTGATTATCGATAAGCGATCATTAGCTTATTATCTCCTTTGGATCTTTTACTTGTCATCATTTGCAATACGATATTATTCCCGACGATGTTTCTCCGGAAAGGAAAATGCTGAGTGCGCTGAGTGTCAGTTGACTTAGAGGCTACACAACTTATTGCTTGGAATTCGCGTATCATGACCTTAACTGGTTTAGACAGCTGACATGACTCTTTGTCTTCTTTTGGGATAAAAGGCTATGCCGGACGGACACCAGACATGACGTCATACGTGCGAATCACTCGGCCGCTTTTCAGAGTTTTAACGACAAACTCATCATTCGAAAACTGTGATACACTTATCATGTGCAGGTATTTACACTAAAGTCCTCCGCCTCGTGTTTTTTTTTTTTTTTTTTTTTGGTAGGGGCCACAGTAAAGACATGAATGGGAAAACTTCCGATATACAGACGGTTGCTTCCGGTGTCCTGAGGTGATCGCTTCCGGTTCATCTCCCGTTTTCTTTGTTTATTTATGCCCTCCGGCGTGACATTGAATCCGGCTGCCTTTTATACACCAGTGACGTCAAAATATTTCGCAGCATTGCCTCTCCAACTGGCGGGCCGCAGCCACAACGGGACGTTGACCGTCTGTAAGCCCGGCCTGTCAGTTTAGGACTGAGGCGCATGCTAGTCCAGGTGAAATACTATATTAGTGTAACGGAGCTCAACATGTCAGCTCAGTTCCAGACCCATGAGCGGCACGACACAAAGCTCAGTTTGCCGCTCGTGTCTCTGGTGTAGTCAGAGCTAAACGAGCACTTAACGTTTTCACTTGGTCTTTTTGGGCTACCTCGGGCAGCTGTTGTTGTGGTTATCAACGTACTCATATTCAATTCACACTCGTATGAGCTGAAAACGTGACCACGCATTACGCGGTCATTGGTGTCTGGAATCTTATCACTCGAAAACCCTGCCGGTCGGATGTATGTTCTATTTTTTACCACGCAAGAATGATTTCACAGGCTATCACGCTACATCAAAATCCAACAATGGTGTAACGAGACGGAAACCAAGCAGTTTATAATGTATCTCAATGGCAAGGTTCTATAACGTTATTAGATTAACGTCAATGTTGTGCGTTGATTTTATTTTAGGCTGCATGACTATTTCTTGGATGTTTAATCGGTATTCGACAACAATCCAAGGTAATCCCTGAGAACTCCTCGCCCAGCGGTGGTTAGAATTGGCGATCAAATTTGACTGGACACTGAAAACTACTTTCACGAAGAGCTCCAGCAGATAGGGGTCCAACTCAGGCCGGGAAGCTGCGACACGGTGGATCTGCGGCGCTTATTAAAGTTCCACCTCTCAGACGCCGTGACCAGCCGGCAACCAGGTCTTTTCAGGTGTGGCGGCCCAGTGTCGCAAGCCTGTGGCGAAACCTTCGCTTTTACGTGCTGTGGTCGGGTCACTGGGACATCGCGGGCGGGTGACCATCCAGCCGCCTTAATTTTCCAGGCCTCACCCTCCCTTCACGGCTTACCTGCCCTGTGTTTCAGCTTTGGGAGTGGAAGCTGACCGACAGCCGGTTGAAGTCCAAGATGGAGATCGACCCCGCCTCCCAGATGGACAAGGGCATATACCAGTGCATGGCCGACAACAAATACGCGATTGACGTGCGTGCCTTCCGCACGTCGTACGGCGAGAACTAGGCTGCGCCTCACCCACTTATATGTAGTACGCGACGGCGTGGTCCGAGCCGAATGTCAGCTGCACGGTATTATAGCACGCCAAGGATGTGATGCGTCATTGGGTGCGAAGAAACGTGCCATGCCGATGAGCGCCCTCGTCGAATGAGTGATACGCAAAACCTGTGAACCGGTGTGGCGTCGTGCGCCTCTTGGGCAGTTTTTTGTTTGTTCGCGTTGCGTGTACACGTTTTGGCTGGCATTTAATGGTGCACACGCCGTCACAGCGGTGAGGAAGAAGGTCGCTTTCAATAAAAGAGCAGCAAACCAAGGTCGTTGGACTGCATCGTACCACAATGAACCTCCTGACGTAGTAATGATCCGCGGAGGTAGTCAGCCGCGGTAGAACACCTAGGATGCGCATTTTGAGTGCCTCCCCGTGAACGGCAGGACGAGGGCACCGCGTAAACACACACTCATACTTCAGTCTTATTGTGTTAAATGGCGCACCCAAAGACCCTACTGGAGAGAGGAAGCACGGATTGACCAACTATTCGATGCTCCTTTTTTACCACCCTTCTTGAACACAGGAATTATTTTCGCCTGCTTACGCACCTCCCGGAAGGCGCCAGATCCACCTGACGCATGTACTTCCTTGGTAAGGGGACCACAAGCTCGTCAGCACATTCAGCAATATTACGGGCGCTAACACTGTCTGTGTCCCGTGCCATGGAAGGTACCACAGAGTGCAAACCCATTTTGCAGCATCTCTCCATGCATGCCGCTCATAAAAGGCATCCAAATGATGCACGGGCGCGTGAGACAGCACCGTCGCGGCGGGGACACTGAACCTCGCAGCAAAAACGTCGTTCATCACGGTCGCATGGTCCGGATCATAAGTCGCATCATAACTAGCATCGTCGCACGGTGCAGGTGGAATGTGTGATATGGTAGCGACGTTCTAGAAGCGGTCAGTACCGTTTGTGGTTGTAAAATTGTCAGCCAGCTTGCACAGCTACTGGAAGGGACTCTCAACTAACTCGCAGTGTGTGGAAGTACGCTGTCCCCATGAAGACCACACTGCAGTGCCCTTAAGAAGAGTTCAAACAATCTTTCGACAGCAGCTTTATGTCTCGCCATGTCTCGCCTCTTGTTATCAAGGTCGGCCCTATTTGCACAGGGTTTCGTCGCATACGACTGCATGTAGCCCGTCAGCCGGAGTGGAGCTAACCACCTGGTGGAAAGCCGCCTGTGAAACTTTCAGGCTTATGAAATGGACTCGTCCAAGCGACCTTGACGTTGGCGGATGGCCTCAATAGTCAGTGAAGGGGCTCCCATTGCTTCCTAACGCAGGGGAAATTATGATGTCAGCAGGTCAAACACATTTAAACGCTCACTCGCACCAATGATTAAAGCGTTTCAGAGTTTTGCCGGGTGAAGGAAATATGATTTAAATCTTACTTTAATTTTAAGTACACTATACGCTCCAGCAAACATAATTTTTACCCAAAGTATCAGAAATATCTGGCCACGAGGACGTAGGCCGGGTGCTCAACTTATTTGCATAATGTCCGTTAGACAGTGATGCGCAAATGCAGTTACGATTCGGTGTCGCTACCAGCTGGTCGTATGCAATTTGGCGCGTGGCTAGGCCAGCTGGGTTACATCATTGTATTAAAATTGGGACCTGATTCGACAAACATAGCGCCGTCCAAGCATGCAAACGTGATGCATCTGTGTGACGTGGAAAACACGAAGGTCTCAAATTGCCAATATGCAACGGGATGTCACGTCTGGTGAAGACATGCAACTTCCTGCATGCAAAAAAAAACGTCCTAGCTCAAGCAAAGCTTGTTCTCGGTCTTGACGATCAGGTGCAGCAGTGACGCGATGCCTACACCGTTTGACAAAGAGAATCCTAAGCGCTTCGCTCCTCACGCTAGGCCACGGAGGGGGAGTCTTTTCCACAACAGGTTAAAAACGATCGCTTGCAGCCACACGAAATTCTCGTCAGCTTGTTTCACCTATTAATTTAACATCCTTTGTGGAAATTGTAAGTTTTGATCTTTTTGATTTGGTCTTGGTCAGGTTTGGCTTGGTTTGGTCAGGTCAGGTCAGGTCAGGTCAGGTCATTCAGGTCAGGGTCAATCTCCACAACACTCTGACCACACATAACATTCCTGTGTGCCACTTGCCACCGTCCAGGCCTTCTCTAGTAATGGAACGTGATAGTATCTACAGTTTGTTGATTTCATATTTTTCAACAGTAAAGAGGCCAGTGACCTGAAGCCAGGCCTTTTTTGATACTTTTATTTCGTAAATAATGCGACTTTGTACATCTTTTATGAAGTTTTGATGTACTCCACTGAAAACATGCTGTGACTGTATGACAATTATAATGCATAATGATGGCACAATAGGTGCTGTGAGAGCACGAAAGGTGCAATGAGTTTATCCAAGGCCAATGACATATGTTGTCAGTAGCGCAGAGGTTAGATAAACGAGTGCGACGCGTGTAACCATCTCTTTATTGTGTTGGGAAGCTGATCACGCATCATTTTGTGTACAAACGTGCCTGTTTTTAGTTTGTTTTAAATACATTGCCAAACGCCTAAGGGATTATGTATGATGTAAACAGCAGTTGCGCGTCTTGAGCACCCGCAGATGGTGAACACGCTATTTCTGACACACAAAAAACATAGTGCTGGTCACATAAACCCAGTTAGCACTTAAGTTTTTGCCATTTGGATGGTTTATGAATCTAGCCTTAATTGACCTCGAATGACTTCTAGGTAAGCCTAAAATAGTGCTTTTTGCGTCTGGAATGCTTTTGTACCACAGTTACACGTAATAAAATAAACCTGGCCGGGGCACATTGTGAAAAATATCGTTCTTGTAGGCTACTGGTGACCAGATCTGACCTCACCCTTGCGGGGAACAAAATTTGTTGGAATGACCTCCCAACAGTTAACACAGCTTTCAACTGCATTTATCAGAACGGCTGCTTTTGACCTTCTGTGACGTCTGGTGGCATGATGTTTGACCCAAGCTTAAAAACTATGTGCGTGTTCTTCGTGATTTGACGATGTTTTTATTGCGGGATTTCTCACACGCGTCAGGAAGTTGGAGATTTCAGGGGTGGGGAGGGGGAAGCCTACCTTCCCCAGGCCAGACACGGTTGCCAAGACCCCCGGCCTGGCGCAGGTGCACACACACAAGGTACGAGAGAATCGGCTACCGGCATAGTTTGGCAAGGATAATGTTTTGCCGAAGTTACAAATTTGCCACGTGCAGTGCCGTTCATCAGCACGTCCTAACTGGCGAGTGATGAATGCATTAGTTTCGATCTATGTATGCAGCGGTCAAATCGGCAGCCTCCGATGCCCTGGCTATGCATGTTTTCTGCTCGCGTACGACATGTCTCGAAGTTTGTGTAGGTGCGGTTCTCTGCAATCCTCATGCAGCAGGCCCCGACCGAGTTCAAGACATCAATGCTTTCCGTTTATTGGAGTCAAATGGCAAGGTCACATGGCCATGGTTGCAGCTTCGACAGCACGAAGTGATGAAGCTGACATCAAATTCATCAGGTGATGGCTTAAGCAGTTCATGCTTGGTAGCACTTCTACTTCTACTCCTAAATGCCACCTAGAACGCTAGCCCGCAGCCTGCATATATATATATATATATATATATATATATATATATATATATACATATGATATATATGATATGATATATACATATGATAACACGACTGATACATACGATAACACGATACATATGATACATATGATATGATATATACATATGATAACACGACGATGAGTGGCAGAGGCACATCGATAGTACTTTGAAGGCCATTAGCATACAAAGATTGACAATTGCTTTTATTGGGTATAATAACTCACTTCGCATTCATTACTCGTCACTCATCATTCAATTCACCGGGAGTTCCGTGAGAAGTTTTCCAATGTTTGCAACCTTTGGAATGGAACGGCGATAATACGGGCACATGCCAGTGAATGAACAAATGTCTTTCATATCGGAGAGATCATTTATATATATAAAATGACTTCTGCTGTGCTAGGATCTAGCTTGATCCCATCTGGTAAAACTATATAACCTAAGTGTCTAATTTTCTGTTTCAGAAATTCGCATTTTGACATTTTAGCTTTCAAGCCTGCACTGCGCAGACGTTCAAACACTGTTTTGATGCGACTGGCATGTTCTTCAAAGGTTTTTGTGAAAATGATGATGTCATCAATGTACGCAATCGTAAGTTTGTGTTGTAGACCTGCAAAAACGTTGTCCATAAGCTTTGAGAATAACCCTACACCATGGCACAGGCCGAGCGGAAGGACAGAAAAATTTATACCCTGAAAATAATTGAAAGCAGTTTTGTCGATGGAATCAACAAAACTTGCCAATATGGGCAAGATGCACTTGCCTATAGCAACTTGCCAATAACCACTTTTTAGGTCCAGCCAAGTGGAATGCTTTGGTTTTCCAAGCGAGGGGAGGATGTCATCGAGGCGAGGTTGTGGATGACAAATTTTCACGGTTACTTGCCTCAATTTTCTGTAATCTACACGGTATCTTTTTCCTCCACCTTTCCTGTCAATCATGGCAAGCAGGTTAGACCACGAACTTTGAATAGGTTGAATGATTCCAGTCTTAAGAAGCCCAAGTGTGAAGTCTTCCACCATCTGTCCCTGACTGGAAGGAAGCCTTTAAGGATTGTGATTTTTGGGCGGATAATCCTTTGTATCTATCTTTATCTTTCTTGACCTGTACGACCAGCATTCAGATTGCTTTTTGGCAAATATGTTTGTGCAAATATGTATTCCATATAACGCATATGGAACGAAGATCACTTGGCCATTGATAGCAGGAACGCACACGATATTGTCTGTTTTGCTGCGAGTTTGGAGGTTAATGTAGAGGCTGAAATGAAGGTGGACCAAATTTGTTGCCGGAAGTTGCTATTTCCAGGTCACTGAGATGAGTGAAATTGGCGTAATTGTGCAGAAGTTTGAGGCTGTCTCTGAGACGGTCCATTTTAAGGTAAATATCGTCGGTTTTGCGGATGACTTTGACACTTTGGTATGTATGGATGCGAGTTCTGTTTTGAGCTGGTGATTGTTTCAGGACTTTGTCCAATTTTGGGCTTAGCTCTTAAACCGACGCCTCTAATTTTCAACTCTTCTAGCATCATAGCATAGTTACGGACAATATGCATGACCACAGGTTTATCAGTGTGACCTATGGTGCCTCTTCACATTTCGAATGTGTGGTCCGTTTGTTGTTCCGCACACGCAAAATTAACGACTT